TATCGGCTTCTTCAGCAAAACAGAATAAAAATTAAAATTATATAAGTAAAAAAAAAAGTAAAAAAAATAAAAACCAATATTGTGCCAATAATAACACGGCAAGTGTGGATAGGGCCCGCTGAAGGTGATGCTTCTGCCAAATTAACTTAAGTGTTGGGATCATCATCGTCAATGTTTCAAAGGTTTGCTTTTCCTGTCTTTTTTTTTGCTTTTTTTTTTTTTTTTTTCTTGTTCTTATTTTTATAATTTTTTTTTCGAAGGCATTCCCGATCGAAAACTAAAAACAAGCAAAAGACAAGCAAAGCAAACGCAATTCATTTCGAAGTCTGGTTCTGGACTCACAATGAGTTCATTTCAAGTATTTACAGCTTGTCTGTGAAATGTTGTCGATTATATTTAAAGGATAAACTGCGAATATATTGGTGGTGTATAGGAATGAAATAAAAAAGTTTCATTACTTAAGCTTTTTGACTTCATTCATAACTGTTTGCTAGCTGTTGCGGTATCTTAATCCCAGGAAAACTGACAAAAAAACTGTGGAAGCAAATCCAATTTGTCGATATTTCAACAATCGCGAGTATCGCGATCAATGTACAAAAGTTTTTGTTTTTTTTTTTTGCTTTATCCTGTCGTCTACTGTGGGGGAGATACAACATAATCTTATTGTCGCAGTTATGGGAATTGCTTGTTTTTTCTCAGTCTTGTTTTTTTTGTTTTTGTTTTTCAATGAAAACGGAGGCTGGTTTTTGTTTGTTTTACGAAATTATTATTATTTGTTTTATGCCCTTTTTTTTCGGTTACGCGGTTTATATTTAATAGGGCGTTTTCTGTGTTTATACGCTTTCAACTTGATCGCTTTAATCAAGAGGAAATTCTCATAATTAGTTTTAATCTAGAGTTCGAAGTGATTGTAGCATACTTGGGGCAAAATATTGTAGAACGATATAGAGCGTTATAGGGATGCACGCCATTTTAATGAATGGTTTGATTCTATAATTTTTAATGTCTTCATTTTAGTCAATGCTCCAACATATATATGCTTTATAGACAATTTTGTTTGTGTTCGTTTTTCGCTCTAATATAAAATTAATATTAATTATGATTATTTTCTTGATGATTTAAATTGATTTTTTTCTAGTGTTACTATAAACTTTTTTATTATACCCTTAAATCATCGACAATTTACCCTTGATTGTGTGAATAATAAAAATTGGAAATATCGTCTTTTAAAGGTACATATATATATACATATATATATATTCTGCCTCCTATACATCCTATCTGTACATAAAATATTTTTATTATGATTTTATTTTGATTTTAGTTTATGCTATTCACACAATTATTTAACCATATAATTATAGAAAATTATACATTGTAAACTTAAACTACTGTAAAGAAACCGTTCTATTCGAAAATTTACCGCGAAGCTAATTGCTCGGATTTTTTTTATCAATAGGAAATTAAAAATATCAAGAATAGCAAGAAAAACAAGAAAAAAAAAAAAAAATAGCGAAAAGTCTTCATAGATTGAATGATTTTCGAAAATGCTATCCATCACTAACACCTACTACTCCTATCTTTTAGATGGAATATGAGTTTCAAACAGGAAAGTGTGCAACTGTAAGCTTAAGGCTCTACCCAAACAAAATCCACTTTTCATAATGGATAGCCATGCAAATGGAAGCTCTACTCAGTTAGACAATAAGCTATCAGATGTCGCCAGTGTCAATTTTAAGGAATAAACTACACTGCTGACCGCAAGGAGCGTAGCGCATTCCATGTCAGTACTGAAAACGTTTGTTGGGCGAGTTTTATTTTTTGAGGCCGGACGAATGTCCTCATGCTGAAAACTCACGATATATCTACTTTTGGCACATTGTGACATATTTTTGACCCAATTACAGTAGCTCTGTAGTAATGGTTTCAAACAAACAACAAAATACAATACATTATCCCCTGGTAATCCCTTCAAACAGAACACCTACATATGTTCACCTTTGGCATCGATGTAAATCATTCATCTAGCCTGCATCATGATTATTCGGACTTTATGGCTCGTAACGGTTTAGCGAGACTTACTTTTAAATTAAGTAGGAAAAGAAAAGTTTCCTCCGAGTAACGTTTTTTTGGGTACTAAAATCGACATCTCTTTTGACAAAGTCCTGAGATTTAGTTTTGCCCCTGCATATGTCTGCAGAGTGTGTTCTGCGATCAAATAGCTTAATCAGTTTTTGAGTTTATTTTTAAAAGTTCGCTTACGAGCACGATTAGCTAATTAAGATACCAAACCTATGAATAGATCGTTACTCATTTCTCTCAGTAAACCCATCTATAAGTATTTGCCAGAGAAATGAGAATGAGTGCCATATATAACAGAAAATTTACAGTAAACACGAACTCATTGCCTATTTGTGCTGTTGAAAATAAACGAATTCGCGTATAATAGGAAGCATAAGCAGGAAGCGCCTTCTGCTTAATTCGAAAGATAGCGTTGCTAAATCGTAACGGGTGGTAACGGGTGCGATGCGATGTTGAAAGCGCAAATAATCGCGATCCAGACTAGGCGAACTTTTCACATCGACGATATAACCAAATATTTATAGCGGTCTCGTTTGCTGGATTGTTGGATACACTGTGCATTGAGAAAGCCAAACCATCATAGAAAATGCTACCAAAAAGAGCTTATATAAATGCGCTGATCACAAACGAAAAAGGATTAAACAGCTGTAATGAACGAAAGTCTTTATAGGTTCATTTTACAACATAGCGACGCCAGTCTTCATGTTGCAAAATTCAACCAAGAGATGTTAGCAACATTCAACTGAAATATGCTCCTCCTTCTAGTTATTACCCTATATCATTAAACTGCGGTCTTATTGTCTATCTGAGATTTCATCCTCTTGACGAAACTCAAAAAATGAGCCTTTTGGTGGATAGCCTCAGAAAATCAAAACTGCTTTCGAAACTCAATTTGCATTCTGCCACGAAGACAGGAAAAATGTAAAGTTAATGGTGAAAAACGGTTAACAGTGCATAAAAACTAACTAAAACTATTTCCTCTACCCGACTTACACCAGTAATTAACCGTGCCATCTACTCCCCGATAATAATTATAAAAAAAGAAATCATTCTTGATGTTATAAAAAATTAACAAGTAAAAAAAAGTTACATTCGGCGGAGAACGAATCTTGCATACCCACCACTATACTTTTCGCTTTCTATTATCCAAGTTCTTTTCTTTGGTACCCATATCGCCGATATTATTAAGAATTAGGGAAATAGAATATCATTCATTTGAGCAATGTTCAAAGTAGTTTTAAAAATTCGCGTTTCTCTTATGATAACTAAGCACATAACCTCAAAAAGGTGAAAAAACGAAATTAAATTACTCGTAACTTTGTGCGAGCACGGACGATAATTTCCATTTTTACATGTAAAGAGTAGAGTATTTCGTAACCTATATGCGGAAAATTTCAGATTTCTTGCTTTTACAATTTCTGAGTAACGAGTAAAATCCCACAAATTTTTCTTAAGAAATACGGAGTTGCGCTCAGTTTATGCTCCATTGCGGGCTTCTGCTCTGGCCAATTTGACCCATTTTCAATACCAACTTGCGTGCAAAAACTTCCAATGTTTCTACCAAGTTTGAAAACATTATCTTCATTTTCGCAGACACACACACTGGGACAGACGTGGGTTAATGAATTCAGAATTTCAGGGATTCTGAGAAGAGAAGAAGAATGAAATATGGAAAATGAAAAATGAAAAGGAGAAATTTATTGTTACTATTTACCATATAGTGTATGTACACTATTGGCGAAAAATGCGCCTGAGTGGCCGAGTAGGCAAGAGTCTCGACTAGCAACTCTCAATGATCGTGAGTTCAAATCTCAAGTGCGGTAGAGTTTTGAATAAAGTCGAAAGCCTTAGATGCTAGTGCTTTAAAACTTTAGTCTTAGAATTTATTCTCTGGCTAAATTTATAATAATAATAATAATAATAATATTGGCGAAAAGTTGCAATCCACAAAGTGTTTACAAAAAATTTCAACGAATTTTTTCAAATCCAAGATTTTTGATGTGTTATAAGAAGACCCTAAAACCTATCAGAAAAATCTAATTTCCTTAGGGGTGTAGGATCTATTACTGCCAAACTCGTCCCAAATATGACCTCTCCGTAGTATACATAAGACACTAAATTAATTGTACAAAAACGAACGTTTCGATCGAACATTTCATTCGCAACATTTTTGCAGCATGGGGTTGTTTGGGGTGAGTTTGGCGTTGATTGGATCTATAGATAGTAATGGAATTTGGTTTTTCTGGCGGCTTATATGATATCCGCACGTGAAGAAATTTGTTCAAATTTTTTGTAATTTATTTACTGTCTTGTATTCGGGGCGAGTTTGGCAGTGACACGCCCTACACATAGTAATGGAATTGGGTTTTGCTTGTAGGTTTTAGCATTTCTTACGACATGTCAATGTCTCTGAAAATAGTTGCAACTCGATTTTGAGATCACATTCTATCAGTGGCTGCACTACAGTTTTGCATGATGAGATTTAGCAGCAATAGCTTAACTTTTTTTGGCTTTATGATTGCAATTGAAGGCTTAGTTGGCTTTATATATGCTTGCACTTGCTAATATTATTTAATTTTAATACTTATTTTATTTTTATTTGTTTTTTGTGTTACACGATAAAGCGTAACTTGGTAAATATTTTTTTTTGCGCAGACGCAAAGTTCGGGTCATCTTGGTGGACTCACTTCTCACTTCGATTTTAAAAAGCCAGCATTTTTCTGTATAATAAATATATTTGTACTAAATTTCTTAAAATTAAAATGTACATTTTATTAACTTAAAATAATTCGCAAACGTCTGACTTCCGCATTTGTTAACTAATATATATAATATACGTTAAATAAGCTAAAACTTAACAAAAAAAATTAATGAAAAACTTCACAACGAAATCTTAATTCTACGCGAGCCATTGAAAACAATTTGAGGCAGAGAATGTTAGAATGTTCACGTTCGCATTCGCGAAAATCAATCCAAATTTATAAAGCAAAAAATTTAACACAAAGGTACAAACTTTGGCACGAACTAAAAGTGATTGTTGAAAGCGACAATCGATAAACATTTCTCGCCTTTAACGCAATAAATCGCCTAAGGCCGCAATATAAGTCTGAGCCATTTGTAAAGTTTCATGTTTTGATAGTTGACGATCGTTCCCGAGGCATGGTAAATATTGACGAAGACGATCAAAAGCTTGATTTAAATTTTGCATGCGACGTCTTTCACGCGCGTTAGCAGCCAGGCGACGCTTACGTTTAATAACGGGCGAAATTTGTTTGCCACGACGTTTTTTACCACCAACTTGGGAAGCGTTATCGTCCGTTGTTGAATGGTAAGTGCTAGCGTTTTCCTCATTTTCTAATTCTGTTATTTCGAATGACGCGGTACCATCAAAATCATCTTGAGAACTGCTGTTGCCATCATTACCGAAAAATAGCATAGCGTTGTCATCAACGTCGACGCTATCATCAAATAGGTCGGTATTCTCAAAATCCACATAATGTTGAAAATTCTCGGCATAAACATTTACAGAGGCGGGATTACCATTGGGAACGGTCGCAGCGTTTGAGGTAGCCGATGGTTGATTTTTACGATTATAAGAACATTTAGGTTTTGTTACAGCGCATACGGTCTTACAAGTGCCAATATTCGAGGAACCCATCGAAGCAATAGATGATGCATTTAAAGGTAAAGATTCATTTTGAATTGTCGATGATGTTACCGTCAATGCATAAGGATTCAGTGATGGCAATTGTAGATGTTGACCATTACCGTCTCCATTGCAAATGACATTTAAATCTACATATTCCGGACTCTCCGAACGGTGACTGGCCGGAGATGAGCTAAGCCAGCCGTCTGATGAAGCTGGTTCGAAATTGATATATCCATTGCTAGCTATGTAATTGCTGTCATTATTGTTATTGTTGTTGTTGTTGTTGTTGCTGTGATTAGTATTAATCACCATATTACCAGGATAAGAAGTAGATCCGTGATCGTGGTTTTGTAAATTAATGCTCGGTGGATTATAAGCCGCCATCGGATTAAAGTAAGTTTCATTACTTTTAAAAGCTTGCAATTCTTCGGTTGCTTTATAATAATAACGGTACAGTTCACTGGACGACATATTGCGTATATTTTTTTTTTTTTTTACTCAACGAAAAATATTGAACAAACGAAAAAAGCCGTACGAAACCTTATCTATCGTTATTAATAAACAAGTCGTTGTTAATCCTTACAGTTCGACTGAGTTTCTGTGTGAACAGCAATCCTTGCTCTGGCATTTATACCTCTACCTTGAGTATGGTAAGTTAACTGCGAACCTACCACACATACCAGGTATAAATGTAGGTAAACCTTTTCAATACTAATATACAATTATTACTCACTATTGCTCTCCTTTGCATACGTAAGCATAGAGAAGAAGGCATGGCGTGCTATGCTTCATTGTATTTTCTCATTTATGAAATTGTGAGGTTTCATCCGTCGTCGCCTCTCCACTTATGTTATTCTTTTACTCATTTACTTTGTCCGTAAACGTTTCAATGTATTGGAATTTCAAAATTTTTATTTAATACACACGTACATACCTTCATTTATAGGTATGTATATAAACTGTAATTATAATCAAAATACCACCACAAAGCTTAAGCAGCACGTGCTCTTAAGATGTCTGTTATTTTTTTTTTTTCTTCTTCTTTCTTGTTGATTTTATATACTTCTGCACATATACCTACATATCTATATACTCTGCCAATGGGATTTGCGATACATAAGCGTGGTGGGAATAATTTCCCAACTAAGCTGATTGGCTGATTTTTCACGATACATACATACAACAATTCTCGCACACAAGTTGATATATATTAAAGGCTCGTATATAAATTTTTTTTTAAGAATTTTTTAGTGTTATTTAACAAAAAAAGATTGTATGTGCGTGTACATACAAGGATGACATATGCGTGGAGCTCTCATGAAAACTTACAAGTTATTGTTTATAATATTTTTATTAATAGTATTAAATAAGATTATTTTTTTATTAAGCCGAAAACTCGATCATTGTGCTAAGTAACAGTGAAGCATTTTTTCCCATCTTTTTGAGGTTACAATATTTTTAAAAATATATATTAAAAAATCCATTGAAGTTTTTCAAATTGGTTCGATTTCGAAATTTATACGTAATCTTCGGATGACTTGATAACAAAATATTAAGGATCTTTAAATGTATATAATCACTAGTAGAGTATAGGTTGTTGCTCCGTACAAGAAGATTCTATTAATCATGCCCATCAGAATTTCAATGAATAAAATAATTTACATCTCATTTCGAATTGCTTGACAATAATGTTTATGTACTTATGTCTGCTAATAGGGTATATGCGAGATGAGAAACACGGATAAACAGCCGGATATAATTAAATCGAATAATTTTGAAGCGATTGGCGTAATGAAAGATTGATCTGTGTTAAACCGATGAGGTCTTACCGCACGTTGTAAGAAAAGTTTAACCTACGCTGAGATCGAATGCACGGATGAATTTTAAAAATGGAAATAGTTGCACCAGAAGTACGCCCACAATAACCAATATGTTAAATTAATATCGAGTCAAGGCACAAATATTTGATTAAGTTTCAATCAATAATGTTTAATCGATAGACATACATTTCAACATAATATAATAAAACCGTATTCTTTTCTCTAGTGTTTGTTTAAGGTTTCGGGATCTTTAACTGTTAAAGATCCCGAAAAAGAAAAACTCAATACTTCAACATATCTTTATAATAACACTTATGCTAAAATGAAGTGAAGCCAAATTTAGTTAAGAAATTCTTTAGATCGAATCATGAATTTTTCAATCGCCAACCGCATTACCGCTAAGCGCTCCTTATATATATTTATATATATACAGTACTTGTAAGCAGCATATAGCTAAAGTCGAATTATTTACGTTTCCTTCATAACCTACAAATGCATATATGTATTTAAGAAAAAGCGAAAATGTACAACACTTGACTTATTGAAAAATTTAGACCGTATTACGTTAAGTTAACACCTTTTCACTTTCTTATATATTACGGTTCAGCCTTGCATTGTTCTCTGCTAAATTTTACAAAAAATTAAGGAAAGGCTAAGAGATTCCATTTTTTATTTTTGATCGACTATTTTATCAAAAGCAATTCTTTTGTCCTCTCCATCATATAAACCCGAATAAAATTTTATGAGTATCTTCCCACTGATCATAAAGACCACCCTGGTTTTATTCTACAAAAAGGCTGAAAAACCATTTGACTTTCGCTTAGTCACTAACAAAATCATTATTATTTTTTTTTTTTTTCTCTTTATTTTACAAATCATAAACCAATCAAATTGGTTACACAATCTTTACTGGCTGACTGTAAATCTCGCATTATTCATTGTTAATATGAAAAAGCAAAAGAATTTTATAAAATTAAATCATGAAAATTTGGACATTGGTCAGCACGCTTATTAGGTAATTAAAAGTCAAGAAGAAAACAAAAAAAAAAAGAAAGAGACTGACAATTATGATGACTTATACAGAAGTATACAAGCGCCGGCGCAATCACCTTATCACGCATAAAGCAGCGGTAGGCGTTTCTCTACGCCCATTAGTACTTACAGAGCCGTAATAATTGAGAAAATTTGCCAAGTTATAGAACATAAGTGATGAACAAGATTTTTCGTAACGATACAATCGAATATAAGGTGCATTGGTTGGACCGTAACAAATTTTTGGAAAATTTCTAAACAAAAATTACGAAAACTAAACAACTAGAAAACATTGTACTACAACGAACAAGATTAAAGTAGTTTCTGTGGTATCTTAGTGGTATCTTAGAGCGGCGTTCAGCAAAGCAAAAAAAAAAAATTTCAATCATAAAAATAATTTTCTTATCTCTTATCATGTCGGCTTTAATAACGACAAATATTGGCCATGGGTTGTGTCTTGGTTGTGGCAGAAACTGTGATTTTGCTGGTATTTTTTATGTTGATGATTATAGATAGAAAAAAAAAACCCTAAAATAACCGGAAAGATTATTTAAGATCGAGGAGAGATGAAATGATGCGTATATGCTGACAAATTTGTTCATTTCGTGTTCATGAGCATGCTGTGCCTTTGACTATTGTTTTCTATTTTGATATTTATTTAACAAGATTTTGCCAGAATCATTAAACTGTTACAGGTCGTCGGTAACAGGTGACTTGTTTGTGATGGGCCAAACAATTTTTGCTCACTTTGTAAAGAGGGTTTAGCGTTGGCGTTAAACTAAGCTCTTTAAGTCGTTCCGGCTTGTAAGCAATTATGGCTTTAAGGTGTAAACATATTGTTTTCATTAAAATCATTAAATTTTATCTGATTACAGTTGTGGACTATTTATTTCATTAGGCAGAGAATAATCTTCTCAAAAGCGGATGTATGAACGGACAAGCACACTTTAATTGATTACTAACCGTACTATCATCAAAATTGTGTACATTCATACTCGATTAGTGAATATGTATAATGAGCTTTTATCCTAAAATTTTTTTGAATTTGAGTAGGACGTTTTACTAAAAGCTTATACATAAAAAATGGTAGCAGCCTTATTTTTTCATTAAGATAACTTCACAACTGTTACGAGCAATCTCTAAAAGCAGACAAGAAAAAGTGCAGCTTGAGCCCTTACTTAGAAAAAAAATGCAAGACTTACATTGACTTCAATATATTTCCTTTGATATTTGAGTTTTTACTAGGTTAAGAAAATAGCCCAAAATGGCCGTATAAACTGTCTTGGCTAAATCGACGAATTTATATGCAGTTTCCCGTCGTATATAAATATAGAGAGTTTGGCGAGTTCCTTCGCAATCCCTTTCTGTAAAAATCTGAATCAGTTCTCTGTTGCAAACATCGTATGAAAATATTACTGATTCGTCTACTATTTCACATATTCATCGGTTTTCCAATAGGCGACTGAATTCTCTGCAACAATGGTATAATTTTTGCACATTAATAAATTTATACAAAAAGCAATTTTTTTTTTAAATATCCCTATGTTTAGGGATGCGTCCTGTAAGGGCATCATCCGATTGCTCATCTAGTTAGCAACGTAAAAATATTCACATCCTTCTTAGCTACAATTTTTCAACCCTGTTGAACACCTAAGGCTTTCAGAATTTCAACTAAATATGAATTAAACGAATAAGTAAATATCAATATCCGTTTTGGGTTATTTTATTTAATTTTTTGATAGACAGTGACTGGAAGAATTGATAAATTACGCCTCATTTCAACCAAAATACATAAGAAACGAAAAATATTCCATTTAGTGTGAAAAGAATGTTAATTAATACAATTCAGTGGCGACAATCTCTACTCTAGCCCAAGACGAAGGTTTTAGAATAGTGTACAAAATTACAGATTTTGACCATTGTTAGGGTGGCCTAAATTTTTTCCAAGAAATACCAGATAATCTTGGCGAATATTTGTGCTAAGTTTCGGATTAATTATTCTTTGCCTATTGCTAGTCGATTTAATTCGTGGCGCAAACAATGTTTAGATTAAATTACAATTATACGTAAATGCGTACGTTTTGAGGCCGATTGCTGAATTATACAAATGTAAAAATGTATCTACCAAACATTAAAAAATTTGGGGGATATGAGAGAATAATGAATTAATTAGTTAGCATCTTAAAGCCTTCAATAACTTTCACCACTTTTTAAACAACTATGCAAGGGAAGATGAATGCACACCGCCTTAAGTCTTCTTTTAAATGATGTTTTAAAAATTAAATTAAATGGCATATTTATTAATTAATTATTTACCTGATATCGCCTGCGTTGATTATTGAATCTACCGCCAAATTTAGTTTAGCGTTATTTTGGTTCGCACTTGTAAATTATTACCGTAAACCGACGTTTTGATTTTGTTCATTGTTTATTCGCTTTTTTTTTCAAAATATATTACTTTTTTTTTCTTTTATTCACTTTTGGATACCGGCGCATTTTTATTACTTTCTTATTATTTATTTATTTATTTGTATGTATGCAGAAAGCGGTAGAAAGGCTTTTAAGGGCAAATTTAATGTATTGAAGCAACTACACCTAACACACAGCACAATTCGCACT